GCAGGGCTTCCTGTTTTCTTGACAGTTCCATATGTCTTTCAGTTTGGAGCTAATCAAGCTTGCTTGGTATTTCATATCATAGTTATTTTGCTTTGCCTCAGGAGTCAGTCTTGTCCATTGCATCTTTATGGTTTAAAGGTCAGTCTTGATCAAACAGTGCCTTGAATTACTTTGACAGATAATTTAACTGTGCTTCGCCAGTTCCTCAAAATCTTGCTTTTGTGTCTTGCAGGTCACTATTTCATTAAAAGCTCTTGCTACCTCTTTTAGTGTGTGGAGGTGGTTCAGAATTGGTCTGCATCTCTGAAATTTTTGCAGGTTTTTCCTATTAACTGTCTGGCTTTTATAAGACAGATCAGAGGCCTTCATGTTTAGGATTGAGAGCAGGAAATTAAAACTTGTATTTACTTTTATCTCAGTTCGGAAAAGACATGTATTAAGGTAGTCCAAAAATAAAGCCAGTTACAACTTTTCTTGCACAAGTGAGTTCTATAGCCTGTATATCTAACTTTCAATCCATGTAGTTTTCAGCATTCAGATTCCTCTGTCTTCACTCACCTGCACCAGCTGAGTGGTTCCTATGTAGCCCTTTGTAGGCTTTGATAATGACAAATGATCTATCATAAACAAGTCAGGATTGCAGTTGGGTAACCTGCACCTTTTTTGGAAGAATTGTTTCTGAGGCTGTGAGGCTGGTTCTTAAGTGCTAGGACTCATGAGTTCTCTGAAAACCAAACCAGTGCTTTTTAGACTGTCCTATGTACTGAATGCATGTGAAACTCATATTCATTTTTGCCGCAGAGTACGCTGAGTATCACAGACTATAAGGCCTATTCTGCGACTTGCACCCACAGAGCACCAGATAATCTTGAGCTTTCTTCCCCCTGCTCGTGTTTGAGTTGATGTTGCTAATTGCTACTGCTGACAGCCAGAGTTGACTTTGCAAAATGTTGTTGCTGTGGTAAGACCTGCTGTGGTCTGTGCATTGACTGTGAGCACAGACAAGATCTGTGTTATGGGTAGAGGCCATAGCCTGCATGCTGCATAGTTAGAACAGTTTAAACAGCAGTATAGGCAATGAATAGTTCAGACTACTTGAAAATCACATCTTTAAGCATATGGTGCTGTTACAAAGTTTGAACAGACTTTAATGCCTAAGCTCCTCTCAAAAACTGTAGCTCCTTGACAGGGAATTGTCTTAACATGTTTCATTGCTTTTTCTTAGGTGACAAGAAGCTTTCTTCAGTCAATTTTCCATGCTATAATTTTAGAGAGAAAATCCACATTTCACTTACTGCTTGTTATGCTTCTAAGAGCTATGCTTTTTTCATAGTTTGTGGCCTTATTTGTATTTTTCAACACTTGTCTGTAGGTACTTTCCCTTGCAAGAATTTTTTTAGACATGAAACTAAATAACTGCAAACGTTTAAGGACATGCAGTGTCCTTGAACAGATTGTACCCATCAGTGTAATCAGGACTACCTGTTTGTCAAATGACAGCAAAAATTACGTTCTTTGATATAGGAACTGCTGGGACTTAGTAACTTCCTAAATGCATGAGACTTAAATTGGAACAAAAAGCAGTCCTCCAAGAACGTGCTCAATTTTACCCTAAGCAAGCCTTAGAACATTTTCTTGGTTAGAATTTCACTCTGTAACACAAGGCCCAGTAGTGCCTTTAAAATGCGCACCTGGTTGTTTGGGGTTTTTTCTTTCCAAACTGACATTTTACAAGCTTCTGATTTAGCTTTGATCAATTCAGTCTCATGCTTTCTTAAAGCTAGTAATGTTTATTTCTGATTGAAATGAGCCTGTCAGCTGATACTGATCTAGGTTTTTGTTTTAGGTAGTACAAAGCCATGGACTACAATCCAAACAGACAAAGAAAATATGGAGGATTTTCCTCTTTTTTTTTGCTAAATACATCTGAAAATATTATCATAAAACTTTAGCACAAGATTTTATTAATATGCATGCATACCTTAGTGTCCACAAGAAGATTTCCTAGCTCATAGAGTGTAATTTCTGTATTACTGAAAAATCCAAGGGTTCCAGAAATGACAAAGTTTTGATTGTTGTGTCAGAAAATATGAAGGTCTTTTAGTTTGAACAGTGTGTGCAGGTGGAAAGTAATAGTTAACAGAGGTGTCAGAAATTTGGCACTTACCTCAGCTTCCTTAATTATCAACATGCTCTTCACATTTGCAGATTGTCTCATTTCTCAGAAATAGGAAGAAAGTTTAACTATCTTCTTGTTGCTAATATTGTTGCCTATGAGATGTGTTTATTCCTTTAGGACTATTGTTTTGTTCTATGTAGTTTTAGAGCTGAATTTTTTTGTTTTGAGAAATTTCAGAGTACTTTTTTCTTGTAATACCCACAAGTATTCTCATGCTTAAAATCTTGACAGATTACTTTCTGTATGAACTATTTGTAGGAGTAAAAAGATTGTCTGTTGCTGAGTTAAATGAACTGCTAGAAGAAATTGAGACTGCTATTAAGGATTATTCTGAGGAACTGGTGCAGCAGCTGGCTCTACGAGATGAGTTGGAGTTTGAGAAGGAAGTGAAAAACAGCTTCATTTCTGTCCTCATTGAAGTACAAAACAAGCAGAGAGAACACAAAGAAACAGCAAAGAAGAAAAAGAAGCTGAAAAATGGTAGTCCTCAGAATGGCAAGCAAGAGAGAGGTCATATGCCTGGAACAGTAAGGAATTTTTTATAACTTTTTATACATTTAATTTTTTTTTTCCCCTGTGGGAAGTAGTAGTCCTAGACTGTGTGAAGATCCCTGGTACACCTGCTTCCATGCCTTCATTGGCAAACAAGTCTTAGGCACGTCCTATTGAGAAATTTTTTTCACGAGGTCATACAGTATTTTACTCTGCTCATACTCAATAAAAAGATTATTTTTAACTGTTTGCAAATTAGCCTGGAACCAGCATACCTTTCTTGGGAAAAAATACTGTCTTTGGATGTGCTGTTCTGTGTTCTCTTGTCAGTAGGGGAACTCATTTATCTGTTTGGTTTCACTCTGTGAGTTTTACAATGTGTGTACCACTGTTGGTTGTGCAGGAAATTGAGTGTTACTGTTGTTGCAGTTGTACAGATATTTATTGATCCATGTTGGTTTTTAGGTAGGAAGAAAGTGAAGTCTTGCCCCAGATATCTCTTAACCAGTGGCAGAGTCACCATGTCCAACAAGAGACGGGTGAGGCCAAACTGTAGTGCAGGTGTACATGGAGAAGATAATTTTGTTCTTTACAGAACATAGCAACAGAAGGAAAAATGTCTTTCAGGCAGAGTTGAATAAGAGGAATCAGAGAGCAAAAGAAACTAGATTATTAGCTTGTAAATGCAAGTTTTTCCTTCTTATATGTCTAATATAATTTTTAAATATTTAAGTGAGATATTCATGTTGGAATTTCTTAGTGCCTCTTATGGGATGCAGAAAATGTGGTTTTGTAGATACTGGCTAAACCCAGAAAGAATGCTTCAGTTTGACATCAGAAGGTTTTGGGGTTTGCTTTTCAAATATCAGGAATAAACATTTATAATGAAATACTAATACTTCAGAATCTGTTTTTAAAGTTACAGGAGTGAGATACCCGTGATATAATCCAAATGGAGTTTTGTTCTCTTCTGTCTAGTGAAAAATGTGTGTGTGTAGCTAAGTTTTAATGGAAGTCCTGGAAGGTGATGTCTGGAAAACCATATAAAATTGTCATCCTTTTACAAGAGCACAGTTAAAAGTTGCTCCTTTTTGGTTCTCAGTCATGGAAAAATGAAAAGTGTTATTCTGCCTGGAAAGAAAAATATTTTGCTTTGAAACTTGAGTCAAGTGATTCATAAGCTATTCTGGTTAGTTTCAAGTTTAGAAACTTGAATGATGGTTTCAGGTACAACTGTACATGTATTTGGTTGCTTCATAATACAGACTAACTCACAAGTAAGACTGTAGGCTGCATGTGTGTGTGAGATTCCTTTGAAAATAGCTTACCCTGTCACCAAGGACAGATTTGAGAGCCCTGTCCCACAATGAGCTGCAAGGTTCATTGTTCCTTTTCCTGGAGAAAGTGCTGAGAATTGCATACAGACAGTATGTTCGGGCAACTTTGTGAAGAGTGAGTTTTTGGTAATAAATCATTTATAAATTACTAATTTTATTAACTATAATTAAGTCTCATTTAAACACGAAGTTTGGAGTCAGAGTCAAATTTTCATACTCTGAGAATCTCCTGTGGATACTATAACTGAATTTTGAGAAACAGATATTTTAATTCTTTGTCCTTGATACAGTCTTTGCATAAATTACTGTCTTAAGACTTGTAAAAACTTTTACCTCTCTCACAAGGGAAAACTGGGAAGCAATTAAAAATAGTCAGGGTTTGAAAATACTAGTTCCTTTAAGTAGGATATTTTCAAAGGGTTAAGATGTCTTTGGCAACATCTGTGTCCTTACTGACCTGGCTGTGCTATAGAAAGCAAATGAATAGTGTATTCCAGCACATTTTATTCCCCCTCCCATAAATAAATGCATTAAAATAAACATTCTGAGGTGTGCTCATCATACTGCCCTGTGTTGGCAGCTTGACAGTTTCTTCTTTTTGTGTTCCTGTCAGTCGCTGGTTTTTGTATCGCATGCTAAACATCAAAATTATTTTGATTTTTTGTTTTTACCTTGTCTTCTCCAGCAAGCAAAAAGGATTATGAAGTTCAAGAGAAAAAACTGTGGTTGGATTATGTATTATTTTTTCTTTTCTTGGATTCCATGATTCCATGTAATGGAGCTTGAAATCAATATGGGTGTGTTATTGACTGTGTATATTTTATCATATTGCAGAAAAAGGGAAATGCTAATTGTTGCTTTGGTTGTGAAAAAGGAAGCATGAAAGCATAAAATGTTTCAAAGCTGCAAGTCTCTGCCTCTGAACAGTTTTTCTAGTAGGTGCTTAATATCTGGAAAAAATGGTATCAACAGTGTCTCTAAATGTATATAGTTTAAACACAGAAGTTAGAGGAGATTTTACTGTGGACTAAACTTTCAAAAATGCTATATTTTACATTTCAAGATGAAACAACCTTAAAAGGCAAGTCTTGATTATGGGATCTGCAGTGTGAAGATTTTGTTTGGAAGTATTTTGATGCAGAAATACTGCTTAATTGCCGTTATAAGGTTAACTTTTTAATTACAGTAATGAGTACGTGAATGAAAAAATAGAAATGTGCTGAAATACATCTTAGTGCTTGTCTTTGTCATTTGTCTTTCAGTCTTGATAAATGCTGATTAATAGTCTTCTGAACTTTTCTCTGTCCCTTTTTTTTCTTTCTGCTGTGTTTTCACTACTTTTAGCGCTTCAGCATGGAAGGGATCTCAAATGTCATACAGAATGGCTTCCGCCACACGTTTGGAAACTCGGGTGGAGAGAAACAGGTGCTGGGCTATCTTCTCTCTTTTTTCTCAGTCTTTGCCTGCACTTTTGGTAGGAGATGAGATCTTGAAAATTGTCAGTAGTTAAATGCTGAGACAGGAAAAAATAGGATAAAATGTTGGAATCTCTACTCCTTCCCTGCCTTGGGACTCTGGTCAGCCAACAGTCCCTTTCTCTCCTCAACAGTGCAAGAGAGTCAGGACTTGATACCCCAATTCACTGAGCTAATAACCCTTATTTCTTACCTCAGTCTATAAATCTGTTTTGGCATAATGCATGCTGCAGATACATTGCATGTCTCTAAAAAATCTAATATCCTTCCAAAGAATATATGTCAGATTAGATACAGCATTTCAGCCTTCAGCATTAAGGACTTGGATAATACCTCCAACTGAAAAAAGGTTTTGGGTTTTTTTCTTCGGATGTTCAGAGTAGCATCTGGAAAATGCATATTGTGTGTCTTTTGCCTTTGAAAACTACGTGAAGCAGCCAAATGTGTGCAGTGCAGATTACTGATATGAAATACATGAGCCATAGGCAAGTTTGTGTCTTTTCACTGACTATTTAAATGTTGAAATGTAGAGCACATAACAGCCACAGCTTCAGTGGATATCATGTAGATGTCATATGGACCTAAGACGTAAGATTCTTTTGCCTGATTTCAAAGTAATACTTACCTGTTTCAGAACCGTAGTATGTGTTTTATTAAATGCATTCTATATTTTAGTAAACTGTTAATGCTTATGCTATTGTTTAGACTTTCGGCACATGTTACAATGCATTGGTATTTCACCTTATTTAATTCTTCCCCACCCATTATGGTTTATGTAGTTGTGTCAGAGGAGTGCATTAGACTTACTTATTTTTTTTCCCTGGTGAGAAGTCCATTGAGGTAATAAATTGCCTGGTAGTTTAGAAGTCAAGGCTGATTAGGCTTTTGTCTGAAAGATGAGTGTTGTATCCTGCAGAGAAGTTTTGGGATGTAAAGTAACTCCTCTCAAATCATTCCAGAATCATGAGGTTGGAAATCATTGACTTACCCACTTTCTTAGGCAAGCTGTATGTACGAGAGCTGATGAATGCATCAATCCAGCTATTTGTTCCCAGCTCTGGAGATCTTGAACCCGTGCACAGAGCTTACCTAATAAGAGTTTTTATCACTCACAGTATCTCAGTACTAGTAAAGCTGTAGCTGTGCTGTTGGGTTTTTTTCCTTTGTTATCTTTACTATTTAATGATAAATTGCAGCTGTTTACCTGTATCTTTAGCTATTTTAAATATAATGTATTTTCATAGAGTAAAGATATTTAGCTAGGCCACCCCCTCATACTTCTGGTTTAAAGGCTTTCTTTATATGTATCTTTTCTTCCTATCTAGACATAAGTAGCATAAACATAAGTTAACAATGACACTGTGGATAACTCTTCTAGTCATTTTTGAGTTAATTTATTAATGTTATTCTTCATGTTGATCACACCTTTCCCCTGATTTAACTTATACTATATCCTTGTTAGCAGGGTTAAGGGGGTTTTTTCCCTCCTCTATCCTAAAGCAAATAATGGAAATAACATGAATTTAAATTGAAAAGTAGGGGAGGATGGTAGGCAAGAATACTAGCTCTGTTATGAATTATTCCTGGAAATCCATTTTTCTATGACATTTGTTTTCTGTTTGGGAGTTTTTTCCTTTGCTAGGTTTGTTTGTTTGGGGGTTTTTTTTTGTAACATTACGAAACCCTGGCCCTGCTTTTGAAACACTGGTGTCACCTTATTGCAGCAAGCTGCAAAGCAAAACAAGTATCAGAAATTCAGTTCCTTAGTGCTACTCTCAGAATATTAATTTGAGTGCTTTTTCAGGGTGTATTTGCATTATAAACTCACATTCAGATGTTTTCTGCTAGCAGGGAAGAGTTCGTTAACAGTCTGGAATTGTGGTCAAAAAAACAAGAGCAGACAATTTTTTTTGTGTATGTTGGAAGGCAGAAGCTCCTACACAAGGTCACAACATAAAGTTTATGACAAGTTTGTACTTTTACTTCAGAGCTCTTTTCAGTCTTTAATTGTAAAGGTATTTACCACCTTCTGCTACCCTATGATAGTGAGTACTTTCTTTTTTTAAATTTTAGTAGTTTTTTTGTGTGTGTGTGTTTTGGAACATAAGCTGAAATTACTTGGAGTTTTTCAACATTTAAAGAGAGACATCCACTAGGAACAACCTGTTCCCAACTGATAATGGAGTTGGGGAACATACAACCCACCAACTGCATTAAAGCCATTGAAATGTTGGTAGCTCTTTCTGTGATCATATTTCCAGAAGAAAATTCAAGATAGTTATCTTCATTTCAATTTTCAGGCATATTGGACACTTTTATAGGTGATTACAAATTGTAGTGAGTAACACTGCTTATCGTATAATCAAATCTGCTTCAAAAATTCAGAGGTCACAGTAGATTTAACACTTGGTCATGTCAGTAAGCTACACTTGAGTCACTCTTTCTTCCTTTTCACAATGTGTTATCCTTCACACTGCCATTCAGGGAATTAGTATTTATAGTGTTATTATAGAGACTGATTGTTAGAGCTGCAAAGTATTGATGAGAAAAAGAATAGTAACGTCTGGAAACAGAAATTTTTATTTTTTTGTAACTATTACTATTAGTGAGGAAAAATGGAAGGTGGAGTTTACAGGAGAAGGAAAACGGGATAATTGGTATTTGGTGTCCTAGTAGTTTGTCTAGGTAAAGGGTAGAATGTCACATAGTCCTGAAGGGTGGAAAAGACAGCCAGGGATCTGATTTCTGAGTAAGTAGGTCCGATATTTGCAGATTTAACAGCCTTATATCTAGCTATCGATTCTGGTAATTTTATTAAGAGGGCAGTTCTCTGGTGCTGCTTGTGGGTTACATCTGCTGGAAAGTAAATTGAAAATTGACTGTTTCCCAAGAATCATTGTGTGCTTTCCTCTGCTAACTGAATGTGAGAAAATGTCAAAGGAAAAGGGAGGGAGAAAAGCACACTGTGTTTGCAGAAGGTCTTGGTGAGGTGTCAGGACATCCTGTACAATACGTTCAGTTAAGTGACACAGAACTGAGTCTGTTTGGCTGTGAGGCAGATGATCTGGTTGAGCATGAGGTGCATGATGCTGCTGTAAACGTGGCAGTGGTTATAGCTGTGTTTGGCAACACTCTGTCTCCTTCTGCAAAGTGAACCTCTTCACCAGAGTCTGGGTTACACTTGACTCTAGCTGAAGTGCAATTACTAGGAGAGAAGGAGACCTTGTACCTTGTATAGAACATGTTTTCTGATTGTTCCATGGAAAATTACATAGATCTCAGGTTGAATGAGAGATTGAGGGTTACTTTGCCTACTGCCTTCTGTCAACCCAGAATAAAGTTGCTGTTAAATTCTTAAAAATTGAATTGATGGAGAATTTGGAAGTCTTTTCCATTAGGGAAAATTCCAGTGTTTTCAGTACTTTCGAAATGCTGACCACTTGAATATGCATTCAAACAGGCTGCAAAGTAAGATGTCACCTAAAATGCATTTAATATAAGAGCAACAGGGTTGCTTCAAGAATTTGGAAATATATCTTGGTTGCACTGAAGGTATGAAAATAATGAAAGATTTCAGTAAAGAGAAGAACAGTGCAGGTGGTTTGAAACAATCTGTTAGCACACTCAATTATTAAAGCTGACCATTTAAATCAAATTCCAGATGATAGGGTCTTACGTTTCATTAGGCTTGCTTTGTTCTTTTTGGTTGGAAGTGTATAGCAGCAGAAGGTGAAATCTGTCTGTATTCATTTTCACTTAACTGCCAGGCAGCCTAGTTTTCTTTCCACAGAGAGCTGGATCACCTTCAGAGCTGGGGCTGGGCAATGCTCTTTGACTGGTTAATATCCTTGTAATATTTCACATTATCAGTAAGAGTTAACTAGTCACTGAGAGAAAGTTGTAGCTGTTTTGAGGTTCTTCAAGCACAGTATGTGCTGAGTTTGAAGATTATTTTTTCTTAGGGTTTTTCCCCCAAATACTTGTTAGCACATTTCTGCACACCTGAATGCCTTACTTAAGGCATCCCCATAGCCTGTGGCAGTTGTGCTCTGGAATCCTTTTAAAAGGTGACTGTTACTAGTTTCCCGAGTTACTTGAAGGCAACATCTACCTGGAAATATATATTTTTTTAAATATGTACCTCTTGGAAAGAAAGAATTACCTTCCGTTTTTTGGTACAACTCATGGCACTCACATGATACACTTCTTTTTTTTTAAGAGCAAGTTTGACAATTGTTCATCTGCATGTATAGTCTTGTTTGAGAGAAGGTGATAGGAAAGTTGTTCTTTGAGCTTTTATTTGATTGTAAGAACTACTTTAAATATATGAAGGACTTCTGAAGCGAGAAGAGGAAAGATTTCACTAGTGATGTGCATAGGCACTGAGGAAGAAACCTAACAGAGAAACTTTATACTGTAAATAGCTCCTGGTTTTTTACTACTTTTTTTTTCAGTGTTTAGCTGCATGACTTCTAAAGTGGCCACATAATGTAGTAAAAAAAAAAATAACAGAAGTTGACTTCTGTGATAAAAGCTTTGGTATAGGAAAGGTAGAATCTTGATCTCTTGTGAAATACAGTTCTTTGTGGCTAACAATTTCAGCTGCCACAGTTTTTGCAAAATAAAATGCAAGCAACAAAGTTGCGTGAACGGACTGTCAAGTAACTCTGTTTTCCTTTGACAGTACTTAACAACCGTCATTCCTTATGAGAAGAAAAACGGTCCTCCATCTGTTGAAGATCTTCAAACATTAACCAAAAGTGAGCATATGAACTTCCCCCACTGATCCTTTCCTCTTTGTATTTCCAGCTGTGGTTGCTCAAAACCAATGAATCCATGCAGCTATGTCTTCCCCCTTACCCTGTGGCATGTATGTAAAGTTGCTGATTTTCAACCATAGCTTAACCTGTTTCCTGAGCCTTCATGGTATGTTTGTTTTCTAGCTGTTCTCTGAAACCCTGAAGGCTAAAAGCTTGTATGTATGGGAAAGTAAATGTTCTCACTTTATTTTGACAGATAGGCCTTATGGAAAATGCTGCATGTCATGTAATTTGGCAATTCTGTCTGTAGTACCTCATATACCCCAGCTTGTTTAAATTTGATGTGCTTTATTGAGGTTATTGTCATGACTTTCAAAAATTGGAGTGGATGTCAAGACACGAGTAGTTGCATAATGATTGCCCTTGATTGCCTGCTTCTCTCTGTGGTTTTGGTGGGGGTGGGAGGTTTTTAATTTGATAATTAGGAATTCCAAATCAAACAGAGTTTTGGCAATGCTTTGTCAAAAAGCATTCTGTTCTTCACATCTTTTCAGGCCAGATCCTCGAAATTGTTTAGAAGTTCTCAGTCTTCTGATTGTTTATTGCTTTTTTATTAAATTCTAATTTTCCAAACAAGGTTAAAATTCAAGGTTGTGTTTTTTAAAATTACTTGTTAAGCTGATTTAATACAACAGAGCATTCCTGGGAGTCAATGACATCTTCTTCATTTGTCATTCATAGGAAAAGTTTAAGGATAGATGGGAGAGTGTGTCAATGTATTTGACCACATCTCAGTGCAGGGATTTGGACCTAACTGTGTCTTAAGGTGATTTTCAGCAGCACCGGTCTGTGGTTCCACAGGAGACTGAGGGGTGGTAAAAGGCTCATTGGTTGTTTCCTGAAAAGAGAAAATAAATATTGTGTAAATTCTGCAGTAAATGAAATGCTTAAGCAGGAATCAAATTCTCTTTATTTTTCTACACTAGGCCCCTTTAGATGTTAATTCACACTTATTTTGTGACAAACAAGTTTCTCATTTTGTGCTTATTCCTGCAGTGAAATTTTATTCTCTTGCCATATTTAAATTTCACTTGAAAGTATTAAGCAGAGAGAGGTTAAAGCCTCCTGAAAACACTTGGTGTTGTTTGATGGTTTATTAACAAAATGTCTTGTACAAATGTATTGTAAAGAGTAGTAACAGTATTGGCTTCTGTAGGCTGGTTGGAACTGTGACTCGGTTGCAGATTTGACTCACTCTCTCTGCTGTTGTTAAGGCAGACAGTAAAGCAGGTGTTCAGGGTTGTTTAGTTGTTTTTTCTTTCAAAGCTGTGTATTACTCCACAGTTATGGACACTAATGCCTTGTTTCAATGTAGAAATTGAAATAAAACACTTACTATAATTTGAGTTTAGAGTCTCACATGAGGAATTTAGAGTTTGTTAAATATCACTATTCAGTGTAATTCTGTGTTTTCAGTCATGTCCAGAGCACTTTTTATAAAGGATTGTTGGCATTTTTCTTGATGGGCTAGCAGACAAGCTTACATGTGTCAAGTTGAGCTAGTCCTTGTGTTTTTCGTTCCTCAGAAATAGGCAAGATGGACAATAGTGACTTCATATAAGTCACAAAAATGGCATTTTGGCATTATTCTAAGTTAATGCCAAATTCAGTCATGTATTTAAGATTTTCCTAAGCTACAGCAGCTAACATTCACTATTTCAGGGGGGAAAAACACACTACTAATTTCACAGAATCACTCAGAGCAGTGTTACTCCAGAAAAGTGTCATTGTTCCATGATTTGGAGTGAAGATCAAAGATGTTAAGTAATGGAGCATACTTTTTTGGCCTAAGATTTCCAGTCCATCAGTAGTTGGTAGCATATTCTAGTTTTGGATGTAGTGACTTTCTTTTTTGTTTTATAGGGAAGAGATGCTTTTTGTTGTTTTTCTTATGATTGGTGACATTTTACTGCAATAGTTAACCACATGAAATGGGATTCTTGTGTCCATGTCCTGTGGAGTTCAGTGAGAATTACACAAGTGAAAGGTGGAGATGTGATGTGTATTATTGTATCCTCTCATATTTCAGTTAAGAGTTTTCTTACTAATCTGGTAGTAATATCCCTATGAGTGCTTGAAACAGCTCCATGGTATTTGTTTTGAGTGTTGCATTTAATTTATGACTAAATATCTGATTTTTCTTTTTATCCTTTAGTTCTGCATGCCATGAAAGAGGATAGCGAGAAAGTGCCAAGCTTGTTAACAGACTATATTTTAAAGGGTGAGTATGTTTCTTAGCAGGGATTTCATTTTATTCTAACTTAACTTAATGTACATGTAGGGTGTATTTGAAAGGAGTGACCCTGCACCATTCATGAATTATGTAGCCCTTCTATCAAACACAGCTCTCATTTATATTCTATTTTGTCCAAGGTTTCTCAGCATATAATTAATGAATAAAACATGCTTATTTTGTTTGTAATAGTATAATATAGCAAAGTATGCACTGTGTTTTCAAACAGCTGAAGGACATCAGCAGGAGCAAAGAAGTCTGGCTTATGAAGTGAAATGGTATAGCTAAAAACCTCCAACATACAGGTTTTTCAGAATCAGAGTTCAAAGTGCCCATGGTGGTAATGCATTTGCTACATGAAGTGCTTATAGCTTGATTTTAAGTATTAACCTTCTGATCAGTAGTAAAAATTACTTATTTTACATTTACTTGTTGCACCTTCACATTTTATTTAAGAAGTTTGTGTACGAGTCATTTATTTTCCAGTCTAATACTTGACTATATTAATGGAATGTCAGACATTGAAGATCACTGCCTGCGTTAGCTTTAAGGAGTTGTTCCAGGTAGTTTCCAGGCTGTTAAATTATTTTTATGTGTTTTTCTTCTGACTTAATTTTTGCCTAGATCTTACTAATGCTTATGTTCTTACTTAATTCTTGGCATATAAATGGTACTGTTGTCTTTAGTATTTAAAGGTTAGCATATGCATCAAACTCACAAGATCTGAACAAACACCTGTACAAAGTATGATGGATGCTTTTTTTTATTTGCCACCCAAATGTATATTATATTTTGGTTTTCATATGCTGCAAAAGTTTTTCTCTTCTTTTGGTATCATACTTTCCAAGTCTCACTATTTTTTTCAAATATATGATCATTTGACTGAACTCATTCCATATGATTTTTAAAGAGTTTTGTATTTCTTACACAGACTTCCAATCGCTCTCATCTCAGAGATATTTGAAAGCACTTGCAGGTTTAAATTGTGGATAACATATAGTGTGCTGTTACTTCAGAAAATCTGAAAAGAGAGCCATGCAGTATTCTAGAAGCTCCAACAGACTTGCTGTGGGAAGAGGTTCATTTCTGAGTTTTGTGTAGAATTGCAGAACTACCACATACAATAAGAATGCAGGGATCCTTTCAGCTGATGCCTTTGATTTCTCTATTGTTTACTTACCCTTTCTAAACATTCTTCTTAAATTAGACAGATGGATTTGGTTATGAGCTGAGAGCCATTTAGTGTCCAGGTTTTTTTAATGATGATGGCACTAAACTTCAGTTTTGTGAAGCAGAATCTGACTCAAGAGGATGAATTGTTGTCAGTAATTAAAACTGTTTGCTCTTCATAATTTATCTGGTAGAAAGTGATTGGAATTAATAGTGCTCTTTGCAGAGTCTGCTCTTATGTTTAGATGTAGCTATCCAGAAAAACTTTCAGATTACTAGGATACTGAGAAGAGACTGGGAAATGGAGAAATCTTCTGCAGAGAAGGCTTGTAAAAGTAGATTACCTGAACATATGATAGGATGATCGAGGATGGGCTGAAGTTGCCTCCTGCCTCTGCGTGCTCATGACTAAAATCACCAGGGATGTTGTTCTAGCTAGATGCGACAATTACAAAAGCATCATACATTAAGTGTGTTGGATCAAACAGGTCATCATATGCAAGCACTGTTAGCTATAAATTGTAAAACTCAAATGGTGGCAGTATGAAGAGCAATCACATCATTGAAAGGAAAAGGCAGTTTCCCTTCAGCTACCATTTCCTTACTGAACAGAACCAAGCCTTTCTTCATCTGTGTGGGTCTGTTTGTGCACAGTGGCAAACTAGTGATTACAGAACTTTAGCGCAGCCTTAACTAAGCTTCATATGCCATGCTGACATTATGTTAAATATTTATAACTCAGCTGTCAGTGTTACATTGTAATGTGTATTTGTCCTGTGGAACAGGCAAAGTCTTCCAGTCCTTTCTGAAGTTATACCTTGTTTCTCTTTCTCTGCGACTAAGACTTCTGGCCAGAAACCTCAGTGAGGCTTTCATGGCATAAAATGCTCCCAGCCACCTGTCTATTGTCTGGAAATAATTTTGAAAGTTTGTTAGAGATTAGGTGATTCTTTAGAATCAGTTAGGTCAACTTTCAGCTCAGCTTTTGTACCTCAAATTCCAACCTACTCCTTAAATTCTCAAGTAATGAGTGACCTACTTTTTGAAGATTCTGCTCTCTTCACTGCAAAGACTGAAAGTGTCTTGGCAAGGTGAAAATCTTTCTAAAGACTTAGGGGTTTGAATTTGTTTTCTGAAAGAAGTTGTAGACCCAGTGGTAATAATCCATATGGTGTAGTGATAGTTGCATTCATTTTACATTTTTTTACTCTATGATCCAGCTGTTATCTTACACTGAATGGATTTTATTGCTTTTTCTTAAGTTTAATCAAGAAATGAAATTTTGAAATGTGTAAATTTATATCATTAAAGATAGTTTGTTCTGTTAAAATCTGTTAACTACTTGTTCCTTTGAGGATCGTTTTTTCCAATCTTACAACAGAAAAACAGACAGTGAATTACATGTGACAGAAGGATATGTGTACCTTTATGGAAAATCCAGTTAGTTTGGCATTTGTCTGTACAGGTAAAACCTTTTAAGCTTTATATTCTATTTTACAGAACAAAGGAAGAAAACTTACAAGCCCCTAATGATTTTTTTTTTAAGCAGCATTGTCTTTTTATTCTATGGCATGTAAAAAGTCAGAACATGCAGCCTTGTGCTTGTGTTATGGGCTGTCCACAGAGTTAATAATAGACTTGCCCAGATACTGGTAGTTACTGATGAAAAGTTACTTAGATTGTTTAGAAGCAAAAACAGAAGAAAAAATACCATTATTCTAACAGTTGCCAAAGTATTGTTGGCACAATGTAATGGGACAAATAAAAGAAGAATGCTGTGAACCTGGAAAGGTAAATGGAACTGTAAGATCAAGAAATAAGTGTTGATGTAACAAGAAATCTTAGCACATTACTAGTGTTCTGATAAAAACAAAAAAGACAGTGAAATAAGTTTATATATTTTCTCTGAAATTTCAGAGTATTTTGTAGAATTCACTATCTTAGAGTCATAGAATCATCAGCGTTGGAGGAGACCTCTAAGATCATCAAGCCTAACCATTAACCTGCCACTCTGCTGTAGCCCCTAAACCCTAAATCATATCGTCCAGTGCCAGATCCAGACACCTCTTAAACACTTCCAGGGAATGGTGACTGCACCACCATCCTGGACAACCTATTCCTAGTGCCTGACCACCCGAACTGTGAAGAAATTTTCCCTGCCATCCAATCTGAATCTCCCATCTCAGCTTATGACCATTTCTTCTAGTCCTCTCACTGCAGGCATGGCCAAAGAGACCATTCCTCACCTCTCTACAGCCCCCTTTCTGGCAGTTGTAGAGAGCAGTGAGGTCACTCCTGAGCTGCCTCTTCTCAAGACTAAATAAACCCAACTCCCTCAGCCACTCTTCATACAACATGTGCTCTAGACCTTCACTGGACTCGCTGCAGCGCCTCAATGTCCTTTTCAAAATGAGGGGCCCAAAACTGAGCGCAGTACTCGAGGTGTAGCTTCACCAATGCCAAGTACAGGGGAACGATCATTTCCCTAGTCCTGCTGGCCACACTATTCTTGATACAGGCCAAGATGCCATTGGCCTTTTGTTGGCTCATATTGAGCAGCTGTCCACCAGCACTCCCAAGTCCCTTTCTGACAAACAACTCCTCCCCCAGCCTGTAGTGTTGTATGAGGTTGTTGTGTCCCAAGTGCAGGACCCGGAACTTTTTCATAACCAGTTAATGCTTCTGAAATGCTGGAAGTAGGAATTCTCAGAATATAGGATGTGCAAAGCCAGTATAATAAAGAAATGAAAAAGAACAGTGCAACTCACTGCATTTCATGTTAAGAGAAAAAAATGCTCCATGTGCAATTCTCAGTAGGACTATTAGTTTTAAACATTTTTCTGGTGTTTGCTTTCTTTGAAGCTTCCTCTTTTCCCAATTTCTACTGCCCCCTTGTGTCCCTCAAAATTCTAAAAATGCCATCATTTTAGTCCTCATGATTAAGTCCCTCTTTCCAGGGGTGAGCTAGCTCTCCTCTGGATCTTTTCCATAGGAAGTATCTTCTCACCGTATACTCCATCCCAAAGCCAGACTAAGTACATATTCTGTGTAGAGTCTTGTGCAGTGCAGTAATCTAACCTTCTCTTGTTCCTGTTGGTCTTATTGCTGTCTAAGTTATTTTCAAGGTGATTTTTTTCCTTTTTTGGGGTTCTGGTGTTTTTTACTTTTCAGTGAACATTTCTATCCTGAAAATGAAAGGGACTTAGTGATTTGCTTTGCAAGTGAATTGTACTTCTTCTCCTACCAGCATGTGATTCATAGTGTATTTTATAGATTTAGACTTAAAATAGATGGTAACGTGAAATTGATCAGCATTTGCAATTGTACTTAACTTTTTTTCTGAATATATTTTAATGTATCAATATTGTTATTATATTTTATCACTGGGGTCATGAAGTAGAAACAGATTTGACAGCAGGTGGGGGAATGCATTTGCTGACAGGGAAAGAAATATCAAATCAACACTGAAATTCTTGATCTTAGCACACTTCTGACTGAGGCTGGCATCTTAGTAAAGTCACTGTATTTAAATGCTGTTTTGCTGTTTGTGCTCATCTTTCTACTGACCTTTTTTGATGGTTTAACAAATATAGTATGCTTTGAAAACATTGTATTAGTTTCCATTGAAAGGGCCTGCACAAGCAGATAAGCAGCAGAGTTTCTTGTGCACAAGTTATGCTGTAAAGCAGATGGAGAGATTTTTATCATGTCTTGTAGTTGCATTGGTTTTAGGTGTTGCAACAGTAATAGGAACAATTTCCTTTGATAAAAGTGTGTTTGTATTGATTATGCATGTTGAGGTTTTAATTTCTTTGTAAAGAAGCTTTCAGCCTTTCTTCTTGTATGTATAATGTAATGACTTTCTGCATTATGATTTATTACCCAAATACAATAATGCAACAGGTAGTAGTAACATCTGTAATCCTTGCAGTATGCAAGTTTGGGTTGCTTTCTGAAGAAAATACCTCCATGCAGCTATGTGTCTCTTCAGTCTCACAAGTAGTAATTACCACTTTCAACCCCACAAGGCAGAAAGAAGGGTTGCAGGAGTAGCTGTGTTTCACAAGTACTGTAGGGAACAGCATCTAGGTGGGAGAAGGACTGAAAACACTTTTTGTACTGAGGTGATGGCGGTTGCTTTGAAAAGCCAACGTCCAGTTAGCCAGATTGTTCTTATGCATTTACATACGTAAAGGCACTTAGAGTGTCTTCTGTCAGTTTTGGGGCATGAGAACAGGGGAGCAATATGGGGAGAACCTGCTGGGATGAAGTTCATAGCAGATTTAAAGTAGAAGATGAGGACAGCATTGTAGGAAAGGGAATTAACTTGTTTTATTGTTACAGATGCAATGAAGAATATCTGATGAAATCTGCCGGAAGCAAGAATTCCTTAATTTAGCTACTTCCAGAACAAATCAATGATATATGTGAAATATTAGCCTGTAGATAAACATAGATTTAAGATTTCAGGGATAGATTGCCTGGTATCACATCTAGACACATTATTTCAAGATTATTAGTTCAAGGATACAAGTGTAAATATGACTTTCTTAAAACACAACTATTATATAACAATATATAAATATGTATTTATGGGTGAAATTAATGCCTTTGAAATCAGATATGTCATTACAGTAAGCTGTTATGACATGTTTGTTGCTAAGCTTTGTGGTTTTTAATTGTCCTTACACATTAATTGTGACATAAAAATACAGTGCTAAAAATAATATGCTGTACATTACTCCTTACTAAACTGTGTAAAATTTGTCTAGTATTATTTTCCTCCTTTTTCTGAATGTAAATGCCATGCAAGCAGAATCATTTTCACTCTTTAACATTACTATTTCATTTCTGATCTTTCAAGTAAAGACTTAAAAATAATTTTTTTTTTAAATGGCAAGAATTTACACCTTATTCTGTTTTTAAACTGTGCAAGTATTTCAGATAATGAGAACATTTATTTTCTTGCCTTTGAAGCTTTTGTTTAATTGTTACACCTGACTTCTTTATTTGCTTTTGTGTTGTGCTAGCATTGGTTTGAAAGCTGGATTGCTCCGAGGTTTGTGTCTTACATGTGAAACAGGAATGAGAAACACGTGAAGGACATGTCTTAGCTTCCCACTGCGTGATTCTAGTACATGCACCAGAATTAGAAAGTAGAGTTAGAATCTCAAATTGTCAGTGCATATTTTTAAAATGTAACTGCATGCACCACCTGTTACTTAATGGTCTGTTTTCTGATAGAGCACCTCAAAAAGCACTGCGTAAGACATGACCTTTAGTTGACTCATTTCTGGGTAATATTAGTTAAAGATAGTGGGTTGTGTCAATTATCTTTTGAGAGAGGCTGATATCTTAATTGCCAGTTTCAATTGATTTCTAGATTTTACTGTGTTACTAATAGGGTAGAATCCAACATTTAAATATTTAGTATATACATTCCATTTTTGTACAGACTGATTTCACTGATGTTTATCAAGATGTATTTGTGGTTCTTTTGCAGTTCTGTGTCCTACATGAAGAGGACTGCCTTGCAGAATTAGCCATGCTCCTTTCTGTGACGAGAAGCTTTCTGTGGATATAACTCATAGTATTTTTTCATTTGGCACTATACCTAAAGCAGCTTCCATTTACCTTCTCTGTGTGTGTGTGGATTTTCTAATCCTACAGTAAATTGTCTGGGCATGACAACTCATCCATTTTAACTTAATAGTGCAATGAACTGGAGCAGGGAACAAACACTGTACAGTTTTACTTGCATTGTTCTGACTTTTTAAAGTCTATTTTTACATTGTATAGCATGTAGTAAATCCTCCTGCACATTTTGTTGTTGGAAGGAAAAGTAAACTTTGAATAGTGTAAATAAAATAAGCCTCATTTTAAGGAATCCATATTTAAAGGCAACCTTAGTTCTTATAGCAAAGATGAAAAAAAGTCCATAGTCAGACTTGGAATTAAATATTCAAGTGAGCTCTCCAGGATGCACTCCAGGGTGGTGTTGGTGAAAATCAGTAGTCAACACTGCTTTGAAAACTATACAACAGTATTGTTCATAGAGTGAATAAATCCAGATTCTTTGCTTTGGCATAAATACATGAGTGTTACCTATTCTTGTTATTTAACACAAACATCTGAGTAATGTAATATTTCATATTTGATTTTATTTTAATTATTAATGTTCATGTGGCTTTAGATATTCTCCCATATTGCTGCTATAATTTTACAGGTTTTAAACAGTGTTTGATCTTAATGAAAATGCTTCAATATATAAACACTTTAAAGGGCAGTATCTTTTTAAAAATACATGTACAGTTTGAAAAACTTGCACCTGGCTTCCAAGTTAGTATTATATTGAGATGTTTGTTGTTGTGTATCTCTAAATTTTACTGCAAATCTCTCTTGTAAATTGTATGCACTGTCTCTTCTGTGATGATGTATCTGCATTCAAGCAGATAAGAATGTATTTTACAAATCCTGTAAAAAACATAGCCCATACTCTCAACATTAAATACTTGTAACAAATAATTTTGCCAGTCTTAAAGATTAGCTTGAAATGTAAGGAGTACTGGTAAAAAAACCCAACTGTTTTCTAGGTGGAATTCCTGTTGATTCTACACCCAGATTTATATACTGGATATCTCAAGGCACTGGAATATAAGGTTCTAAAGAGATAAACATGTCTTTTCTTAAACACTTTTTTCCATTTAAATTCTTCAGATTTATTGTTAGTTAAAAAGAAATTTGCTCCTGAATACCTTGTGTCACTTTCTTAATGCTCAATTTTAATATCGACACCAAATCCTATTTTGATCTGTAAAACACATTCAGTTTGAAAATGATTCCCATAATGCTTACTTTGTTTTTTCTAAAGGCCTCGATATTTTTGTCTTTTGTGCCTTTTTCAGGCCATACATTTTTCAGCTTAAAATTCTTTCTTTCCTCCCTCTCCCCCACTTGACCACTAATGAATACTTCCCAGCCTGCTCAGGAATAAATAGATCCTCTGTATAAGTGTGTCATACGTGAAGGAGTTGCTTTATTTTAATTCATTTGTGGTTTCTCTAAAACAAAAGCTGTCATTTATTTCTATAGCTGATGTGTTACGACCTCATTATGGCATGTTTTTTGTATGGAAATTCTTGATGTTGACTGTTGATGCCTGGAAAGTGGCAAAGGGGGTGACCCTGCATTATTTTTAAAAAGGTGCATGTGTGAAACCCACCGTGTCTCCATATGAGATCTGCTCAGAGGTGCTTCAATTTCCCTTGCGGCTTGAGCTGACAAGATGGAATAAAACAAAAAAAAAAAGGCAATTGAGAGAAGAATTACAATTTTAAAAGACAACAACAAAAAAACTTTGGGCAAAGTTTATGTTGTTAGTTGTAACAAATCTTGGATGACTTAAAGTCACAAAATACTGAAAGTAATGAAACTGGAAAGAATTCAACCATAAAGACCAAAAACAGCTTTAGTGAGCTAAGCATCTCCTTGAGTTTGTCATGCCCCTCATCAGACTAAACAAGATTTTGTTATGAAAAGTTCCTGTTTACCTTGTATGCATAGTACAACAGCTGCCAAATATGGCAAGTATTATATGTATACCTATATATGTACATAAAAAAATAGATCTCAAAACATTTGAATAAAAAGAACCATTCAAATCTGCTTTTCTGCTGAGTCCTATGTATTTCATATTCTCTATTATGCATCCTTTTTCCAGATCCATTATTGAATATTGCATTCTTTCAGGGAGATGGATTTCATTGCTCTTTTTAGTTTTAGCATGTGACAGCTGTAAGTGGCCACCCAAAAAAAAGAGTAGCTGACATGCCTAGCAGGGATTTAGTAAAAATACATTTTTTATGAAAAGTCACTCTATTTTTTTATATGAAGAGTCCTGGAAACATAGTCCCCCTGAAGTCATTGAATCTGAAGGTACTGAAGTTATTTGTGTATCACTTGCTTTCACAGCCTTTTTTTTTTTCTTTGGGGTTTTTTTTTTTCTTTATTTTTTTTCATCTAACTCTTTTTCTGTTCCAGCTATTTCATTTGAAGTTTATTCACTTGCTGAAGAGTCAAATTTTGAGTCAGGGACTGTCTGTGGACAGTATGTCAGAGGTAGACAGGAGTCCTAGAATTGTTTTCTCTGTTAAGGAAAGAAACTTGAAAACAGTTCTCTTCTGGTGAAAGATGATGATTTAACTGGACACTCAGGAAATTGGTGATAAAGAACATCTGCTGTTAACTGTGCCAGGTAATTGTAGCCTTTCACTTGGAGTGGTGGTTTGTTGTAGTTGTCCACATCATTGTTGCTTCCAGGGTGGATTACCTTGGGATTCTTTCTGCATGCTTGTCACTTGGAAACCGTAGCTAGACCAGAAATGGCACTCTGCATGCTTGGCAACAGCATTGATAATCTAGTGTGTATCTGCACAGCATCTTTCACAGCAGCTGCCTCCTTTTTTCCAAAGGGACCATTTAAGATGCAGGTTTCAACTCCGGAAGCTGTAGATGGTGCAGAGCCCGTGCTGCCTGAAGCCTGCTTCTCCAGCTCTGGCTGCCATAGGCAGCGGAGATCAGCAGCTTCCCTTAAAACAGCAGCTGCCCCATTCAGCTGGGAAGGGTCCAGTGGCGAAGCTTTCTGGTGGAGCACTTCTGGCTCTGATGCACCCAAGCTGGAACTTACTAACTCCTCTTGTCATTTTGCAGTGTATTGTTCTTTTGGGCAATGGTGGAACTATTTTTTGATTCAGATATCAATCCTAATTTTTAAAACCTCATGAACCTCCAGATTATCTGTGGATATAAAAACACCCCAAAAACGACTAAAACTGTCATCCAATAAAAAATGAAATCTCAGATCAGAATGGATCTTGAGTCACATTATGTCAATTTAGTGTTCTGCTTCTCTTGGGGGCGCAGCAGTGTTTGTTTTAAGCCTAAAACGAACCTGTTTCATCGTGATACAGGAAATCCATCTGTTGTAATATGAAGACAATACAATTTATTTTCAAAGCATCTACAATTTTGCTGGTAGCAGTGTGCTAGGAGAGTTTTATAGGGCTCATCTAATGATGGAGAAGTGCTAGATACCTTCCTTGCAGAGTTTCTTTCCACTGAGGAACTCGAAGGAATGCTTGTGTTTAAGTGCTTTGTCGTAACTGGTGAAATGAGTATCTTACTCCCTTGCTCCCTTTTG